TATTCTCACTCAGATTGCCCTCCAAGAAATACCCAGTGATCTGGAATTTATAGCTTCATTAATTCAGTAAATACTCATGGAACAAAAGCAAGCCAAATGAGTGGCAGTGCTCGCCCTCATAACCTCTCACATACTTGGGGGAGAGACCCTAATGTCAACAAATGCAACAAATTATGATCCATTGTAATAGGTACTAGGATAGAGCTGGCATTAAGCACTGAAGGAAACAGAGCTAATGATTTAATTTTCTCTAGTGGTGAAAAGCAAGGGAGGTCAAGACAATTTTACAGACGAGGTAACAGTTAGTCTTGAACAACAAGGAAGTGTCATGGTTATTCCTCCCAGGAACTTTATTTTAAACTTATTTCTAACTATTTTCTTAAAAGTTATCTCCCTTTTTGTACTAGATAGTTTCTAAGATGGTTTCAGTGATCCTCATCTCCTGATATTCATTCTTTTCTTTAACCCTCTCTAAGTGTAGGATGAACCAAGTGACTTGCTTCTCAGAAAGAGAATATGGTAAAAGTTACGGGATATAAATTCTGAGATTAAATGACAAAATGACAGACTTCTGCCTTGCTCTGTCTCATTATCTTCCTCAGTGTCTCTGAGGAAAGCTAGCTACCAGGTTGTAAATAACTTGTCTCAACTCATTCCTGCTGCTATAACAAAAAACCTTAGACTAAGTAATTTATAAATAATGGAAATTTATTTCTCACAGTTCTGTCTGGGAAGTCCAAGACTAAGGTAGTGGTAGATGTGGTGTCTGGTAAGGGCTTGCCCTCTGCTTCCAGATGGTGCCTTGTTGCTGTGACCTCTGGAGGGGGACAAAGGTGCTCACATGGTAGAAAGACCAGGCAGGTCTCTGAAGCTTCTTTCATAAGAGCATTAATCTCATTCACAAGGGCAGAACCCTCATGACTTCATTTCAGAAGGCCTCACCTTTTATCACAATGGGGATTAAATTTCAACATAAATTTCAGAGGGACACAAACATTCAAATCATAGCATTCCACTGCTCATTCTTCAAAATGTATGTCCTCACATACAAAGTACATTCTTTCTATCTCAATGCCCCAAAGTCTTAACTCATTCTTGCATCAGTTTAAAAGTCTAAAGTCCAGAGTCTCATCTAAATCAGATATGGGTGAGACTCAAGGTACAATTCCTTCTGAGGCAACTTCCCTCTCTTGCTGTGAGCCCATAAAATCAAACAAGTTACGAGTTTCCAAATACAATAGAGGGACAGGCACAGCATAAATATTTCCATATCAAAGGGAGAATTAGGAAAGAAGAAAGGGGCAACAGGTCCAAGTGACTCCAAAACTCAACAGCAAAAATGACCGTAAACGTTGATGCTTGAGAATCATCTTCTTTGACTATTCTCCACCTTCCAGACCAGCAGCAACGGAGGGTTCATCCCCCACAGCTCCTGGAGGACACATTCTTGTGGTAGTTCTCTTCCTGAGCCACTGAAGCTCTCCAAGGCATGCTTTGAAATCTATGTGGAGGCAGCCATGCCTCCATAGCATGTGCACTCTGCATACCTGCAGAGTTAGCACCATGCGGCCACTGCCCAGGTTTAGCACCTATGCGCTCTGGAGCTGCAGCCTGAGCCACACATGGGCCTTCTTGAGACATAGCTGGGAAAGCTGAGGAGTGCTGCACCTGAATGCAGGAAGCTGATAATTGATAAATAAGGTGGCATTAGGCATTCAGTGCTCAGGCCCTGTGGGTGCCCACAACCCTTCTTTTGATATGATTTTGTCCCCCAGGCCTTGTCATTATGGGCCTGTGATGAAAGAGACAGAACCAATAGTATCTGAAATGCCTTACAGTTGGATTTTCATCTGCCATTTTGTTAATTTTTTTCTCTGTATCCATGTTTGTTAATATTTTTCATCCTTTTATTTTTTTTAAGACAAATTATTATTTTGCCACCCAGGCTAGAGTCTAGTGGCACAATCACAGCTCGCTGCAGCCTTGATGTTTCAGGCTCAAGTGATCCTCCTACCTCAGCCTCCCAAGTAGCTGGGAATCACCATGCTGGCTAATTTTTCTTTCTTTCTTTTCTTTTTTTTTTTTGGAGAGATGAAGTTTCATCACGTTACTCAGGCTGGTCTTGAACTCCTGTACTCAGGTGATCCAGCTGTCTTGGCCTCCCAAAGTGCTAGGATTACAGGCATGAGCCACTGTGCCCAGCCTCTTTTACCTTTTGGGCTATATTTTTGTTTCCATTTAAAATACACTTTTGGATTATTAGCTATTTCTCCTTTTCATTGTTTTAGTGTTTACTAGAGGGTTTACAATGTACATCTTTAATTTACCAGTCTAATTGCAAAGAATATGCCATTTTTTGTATGGTGCAATTATTTTGCAGTGGAAGAATTCCAATTTCTCTCTTACATCCTTTGTGTCATACATTGTACTTTACATATGGTATAATGCATTAGTACTATTTTTGCTTTAGGCATTCAATTACAGTTTCAATTCTGTAACATACAGAGAATGTCCTTGATATGGTATTTACCTTTATTTTTATCATTTCAAGCACATTTTATTCCTTTGTATGGATGTACATTTCTGTCTTGTATCATAATTCTTCTGACTGAAGAACTTTCTATAACATTTCTTAAAGCACAGACTCCTAGCAATAAATTCATCTTTGATATGTCTGAAAAATTACTTATTTTGCCTTATTTTTGAAAGATAGTTTTCCTTGAATATAGTATTTGGAGTTTTTAAGCTTCTTGTAGTTTAATTGTTACTATATTGTTTTGTAGTTTGCATATGTTCTGAGATGTCCTTTGTAAATTGTATTTTGTTGTTCTGCATGTACTGTATTTCTTTTCTGACTGCCTTCAAATTTTTTGTCTTCAGTTTTCAGTTGCTAAATTATGATGTGTGTGTGTGTGTGTGTTATTTATTATGCAAATAGATTTAAGTTCCTTGGATCTATGGTTTGATGTCACTCATTATTTCTGAAAAATTCTCAGCCATTATCACAAAATATCTATTAGTCCTGTTTTTTTTTCTTGTCCCTTTCTGCCACACCAATTATCCTTATGTTAGAACATGAATATTAAATGCTCTGTTTTTTTTTCTTTTAAATGTCACTCTTTTTCCCAATGTTTTAGTTTGGATAATTTCTATTTATTCATATTTACTCAACATCAGTTCTTTGAGATCCATCTGAGTTGTTGAGAATATTAATAGTTGATTCCTTTTAATGGCTGAATATTAACCCATTTAGAGTTTGGTGAATTTTTTTCCCCCTCAGCTATCTTAAGTCCACTGATGAGCACTATAAAGAATTTCTTCATCTATGATATAGTGTCTTTTATTTCAACTTTTCTATTTGACATTTTTAGTTTTGTTATCTCAACTAAAATTCCCCATCTGTTCATTTATGTTGTTAAGCTTTTCCACTAGGCTCTTTAACATGTTAATCATAGCTACATTAAAGTTCCCATCTGATAGTTTCGATATCTCTGAGTCTGGATTTATTAATTTTTGTCTTTCAAAAATGTTTTTTTGTATATCTCATAATTTTTTACTGAATTATGGACTTCATGATAGAGACAGAGATAATATTTTTATGGGGAAAAGGCTACATTTCTACTTTTGGGCCAATAATATGACAGTTCATTTATTCTAGACAGGAGTTGATTTAGGTTTGGGTTTCATTATCACTAAAGTTGCTTTCTTGCACTACACACTTCCAATTTCTCTACCAAAAGGCTGACTTTGTGAATAGGGTATGCCTGTGACCTCTTGTCCTAAATTATGAACAAATATCTGAGCATGATCAGAAACTATTTTGTTGAATTTCAGGTGTAACCTAGGGTTATTGTATTCAAAGTATTTCCCTATAAGATGACTACACATACCATTTAGTCCAGAATCATTACAGGTTTAGCTAAAAACTCCACATCCTAGGAAAAACCCTTATAGTTCCAGGCAAACTGGGCAAGTTGATCATTCTATGACAAAAGACTAGCATCATTGATATTATCTGGGAGCTTGTTAATAGGTTGGTTCGAAAAGTAACTGTGCCATTAATGGCAAAACCAACCAATTACTTTTTGCACCAATCTAATAGTAATAAGGAATCTTGGCTCCACTTCAAATCTACTGAAGCAGAAACTGTATTTTAATAAGATGCACAGGTGGTTCATAGGCACATGAAAGTTAGAGAGGAATTGCTATAGAAATAAGAGTTGAGAATTTACATACCTGAAATTTAGATTCCCAAGACATTTTGGATTTTGTTTTAAAACGTTTCTATTTTCCATTCTTTTTGCGCTACCCCCAATGTTATTCAGTGTAAAGGAAAATCTTCATTTGTCTCCCACCAGGACTTAGTTTATTATATCCTGTGTAAGCACAGTGTCAATTGCCCTCTAGTGAGCATCAGCTTTTTTAGTTCCATTAATTTCTGTGTGTGTGTGTTCATGTACCTTCTAATTAAATTCATTTTTTAAAGAAGATCTTTTAATTCAGATACACTCAGGGTCTCTGGAGAGTGATTATGGGACTCACTAAAATGCACAATAAGCAACTCACTATATTAAAGGACTAGCTAATGAATACAACTTTAGTAATTTTCTTCTATATTCTGATAAGTTGGGGTTTGAAAACTATATCACTGAACTTCTCTGGGAAAAATGGATGAGATTTTTCTAGTCAATATCTGGCTTCTTTGAAGATAGAAATATCTTTAATTTTCATGTTTGTGCAAATAATTATCTGATAATTTTATTTAAACATTCATAAAACCAGTAGTAAAAGTTATAAACTAGATCTTTTGTATATAATGAAAGACCTTTGTAGATCCTCCATGCTCTATATATAATCTAACCATAAGGATTTTTTTCTTTCCCTTTTGGAAGGCAACATCCATTTTATAGAGTAGTACAAAATGTAGCTTTAATGTTTTGGTTATGTCTTTCCTAAAACATATTTCTTTAGCATTGTGGGTTTTCACACTCTGCTTTCAGACCCATGGAATACTCTCCTGAACCTCCAATGTTTGTTTAAGCTGGCATAAAATCCTAGAAAAATTCCAGCAAGGCTCCCTGTGGCCACCACCATCCAGAAACAAAGCCCAGATTCATTACTGGCCCATTACCTGAAGCCTTGACTGGTAAGTGAAATGGCAGGGTTGACTTCAGCTCAAGAATGAATGTATGGCTTCTTGGAGTAATTAGGTTTTCCTGGCCTTTGCTTCATGGCATATGTATTCCAGTTTAACTAAAGTATTAAACAACATAACTTTATTAGACAAAACACCCAAATTTACTTCCAAGGAAAATGGTATTGTTAATAATAAAAGATTTGAATTAAGACTGCTTTTACTTTGCCATTGAGAGTTGACTGATAATTACAGGAACAATCACAGGGATTCTATGAGCTTCAGTGTCCCTATCCATAAAATGAATAATAATAGAAAGTATCTTGCAGTGTTATTGTGATAATTCATTGAATAAGTAATCAAAAACAGAATTCAGTGCCTCAGCATGTTAGTTTCCCAGTGTGAAGTGTCACCATGGTAGGTCTCCATGGTATTTGTAAAATGATACTGCTTGCTGTCCTGAAAATACAAATTTTAAAAAGCTATAATTCTGTACATATGGCTAGGCATATGTATTCAAATATGTTCATGTGTTTTCCAAAACTATAATTTATTTGGATAATCTTTTCCTAGTCTATTGCCCAAAATTTTAAGTATCTTTTGGGAAAAGGAAATAAAACAGCACATGCTCTGACTTGTCCCAGGCCAATTCCTTATTTTTCAGATGGACAATATCAAAATAACCTTGTTTTCATGGAATGTATATACACGCACATGAAAGCTTACACCAGAGCCTTGCTAGTCTTGTGTACTTGTCTACATTCTTTTTATTTATAGCATCTGGTGAGTTTCCCCTTAATGCCATTTAAGATAGTACAAATGTTCCAATTTTTACAAAGGTTCAAATATCTATTCTACCCTCCTGACACAGGAAACCACATGATGAAGGGATTTGGAGCCAACATACCTGCCCTTTATTGATCTTAGGCAAGTCATTGAATCTTCCTCAGCTTTAGTTTTCACATATTTAAAGTAACAATAGTGATAAATTATTATTACAATAATAAATATATCAATGATTAAAATTGCCATGAACATTTATTGACTGCTTACTATGCTCTAGCCCTTATATGTTTGTAATCTATCATAATACGGAACATGATGAGGTAAGTACTTGCATTAATTCCACTTCATAGATGATAAAACTGAGGCTCAAAGAGGATAAGTGGCATGGCCAAACTGTAAGCATCAGAACAGGGGTTCATAGTTTATGCTTTCATGTACCGCTCTCCACTACCCTTCACAGAGTGAGCACAATAGCTTATATTTCTTATATTTGCTTCTTGGGGCTGTTTTAGGAGCTAATTTGTTCATGTAGAAGGATAGTGGTCTCCAAACTATAAACTTATAAAAATGTTGGTTATTATTAGTATTTTCATAGGACTCTGGCCTTTCAAGTCAAAATAAAAGCTACTCTAGTATCAGGGAAATTTTAAGGAAAAAAAAGTTTTGCAAATCTACAATTACAGGATCTTCAATCATTTAGTATTTCAGACATGCTAGTTTTCTAGCCACAGGCCATTTCCAAAACTATTTTTCATTATAGACTGAGCTCAATTCCTCTAGTAGGATGAAATTGCTAGATACATATTTCTATCTTTCTTATATTTCATATAGGGATGATTATATTAGTTTCCTAGGGCTGCTGCAACAAATTAGAGTAAACTTGTTGGCTTAAAATAACAGAATTCTTTCCTGTAAAACTAAACATACTCTTACCAGATGATCTTATATTTGCACTACTTGATGTTTACCCAAATGGATTTAATACATTTGTCCACACAGAAACCTTTACATAGGTATTTATAGCGGCTTTATTAATGATTACTAAAACTTGAAAGCAACCGTTATGTACTTCTGTAAGTTAATGGGTAAATAAAGTGTTACATATCCAGACCATGGAATATTATTCCATCAACGAAATGAGCTTTCAGGCCATGATAAAACATGGAGGAAACTCAAATGCATCTTACCAGGTGAAAGAAGCCAACCTAAAAAAGCTGTGTATTTGTGATGGTTAATTTTGTTTTGAGTGGGCCATGAGAACCCCATATATTTGGTCATACACTATTCTGGGTGTTTCTGTAAGAGTGTTTCTGGATAAGATTGACATTTAAATTGATAGACTGAGTAAAGCAGATTGCCCTCAATTAATGTGGGTAGAATGGGCCTAATTTAATTAATTGAAGGTCTGAATAGAAAACAAAGGCTGACCATCCCCAAAATAGAATAGAATTCTTCCTACCTGACAACCTCCAAACTGAAACACAAGACTTTTCCTGTCTTTGGACTAAAACAGAAACATTGTTTATTGTTTTCTCCTGGGTTTCCACTTTGTCAATTTACCCTACAGATCTTTGGACTTGCCAGCCTTCATAATTGTATAATTCAATTACTTATACTAAACTTTCTCTCTCTCTCTCAGAGAATTTTTAAGATAATGAAACAATTCTAATACTCTAATGGTGGATACATGCTATCATGCATTTGTCAAAACCAGTAGAATGTACACCACTAAGAGTGAACCCTAAGGCAAAGCATGGATTCTGGGTAATGATGTATCAATGTAGGTTCATCCATTGTAGCAAATAAGGTACCACTATGGTGTGGGTTGTTCATAGTGGGGAAGGTTGTTATTTGGTAACAATGGGTAAAAGCGAATTCTCTGTACTCTTTGTTCAACTTTGCTGTGAACCTGAAACTGCTCTAAAAAAGAAAGTCTATTAAAAACAAACAAGACAAAGTCTATTAAAAACAGATAAATTTATTCTCTCACCGTTCTGGAGGCCAGAAGTCTGAAATCAAGTTTGTCAGTAGGGCTGTACTTCACCTGGTGGCTCTAGGGAAGAAGTCTGCATCTTATAGCCTCTCTATCTGTGGGCGTTCCTTCACGTGTGGCTGCACCATTCCAATCTCAATCACCATGATCATATCGTCCTCTTTTTCTTTTCCTTTGTTTGTTTCTTTCTTTTTCCTTTTTTTTTTTTTTTTTTTTTTTTTTGAGAGAGAGTCTTGCTCTGTCACCCAGAGCTGGAATGCAGTAGTACAATCTCAGCTCACTGCAACCTCCACCTCCTAGGTTCAAGCGATTCTAGTGCCTCAGCCTCCTAAGTAGTTGGGATTACAGGTACCTGCCACCACACCTGGCTAATTTTTGCATTTTTAGTACAGACGGTTTCATCATGTTGTCCAGGCTGGTTTCAAACTCCTGACCTCAAGTGATCTGCCTGCCTCAGCTTCCCAAAGTGCTCTTTGTTTCTTATAAGGATACTTGTTATAGGATTTAGGGCCCACCTGGGCAAACTGGGATGCTATCTTCATCTGAAGTTGCTTAATATAATTAACTCTGCAAAGATACTTTTTTGGCATAAAGTAAAATTCATAGTTTTCAGCAATTAGGGCATGGACATATCTTTTTGGAGGCTACCATTCAGACAACTACAATGATCATTTACCCAACCCTGGTCAAGAGACCTCAGATAAAGTCTACTCAATGACTTTTAGATAAGGCTTTCTCTTTTATTTCTCCTCTGTTTATGTGCATCTCTTCTATGCATGAGAAGAAACTAACTTTTCTTTCTAACTTTCTGCATGGGTTAAGAGGGCAAGGGGCCTGGAATAGTAGCAGCCATCTGTGTCCAAGTGGCAACAAGCACAAAGACTTGGTTGAGCTACTGAAACAAGCCTGAATTTCATTCCATCTGAGGCTATAAATATTCTGATAGTTTAAATTGTTGAACATTATGATTTTTGTCACTCGTGGTTCAAAGTATACTATTAAAATGTGAAAATATAAATATCACATCAGGAAAAGGAGAACTTATGTAACTTATGTGATAATTAAAGTATAACAGATTTAGAATTCAGGAAAATAAACAACTGTCTTAATGGTCAAATTAGCTAAAGAGGGTAATTCCAGGGTTATTCCAAGAACACAGAAAGAGACTTATTTATCCTTAAGAATAGGAGTCAAGAGAACTAGCCTAGCTGGAGGGTAAGAAAAGGGAGAACCAACTGCTAGACCATCAATTCTGTGAAGTCAATCAGAAAGATATAAAGCTTTGCATAACACATAGGTGGAGGGTGGCACCTGGAGCAGGCATCAAAGATTCAAGGTTAGAGTCTCAGGAAAAGCTTTGGGCATCCTCTGGGGTGAAAGAAAGCATTCAGGTGAGTGAAAACTTGATAGTCTATCACAGTTTAGCTCTTGAACAGAAGCTCACATTGTAGGTACTTCAGGAGACACAACAATGAATTAAATGGTATAACTATCCTACTCTCAGGATAGTGACCATTTCTTGAAGAGAAAATACATATATACAAATGGTAATAAAGTAAGAAAGTTCCTAAGAGCTGTGGATGTAATAATTTAGGTCTGGGTGTGAGAAAGAAGTGGAAATTCTGATATGGAAGGAGAAAACTATGCAAAACTCTAGAAGCAAATTTAGCTTATCATCAGTTTGTCTAGTTAGAGGCTCTACTGTGAGTTATTACTCTGGTACCGTAGCCACTAAAATCACAAACTCCTTGAAGTTCTTTCTAGATCCAAAGTCTATGCTTCTGTTTTACTGCATAATGCTACATCCTTAAAATGGACACAGCAGGTATAGCTGCACTTGATGTGACTTTTCATTTTTGTTTCACAAAATATAAGCTAATATTGAATGTAACTAACCTATAAAAACCAGCAACAACAATAATCCTTCCTAATACAACTTACTTCTTTATCAACCACTGACATTCACAAAGGTTTCCTAATATGTTGTCTTTTTGTATCCTTCCAGAAATTAAGGGAGTAGAATTCTTTAGTTATTTTAACATTAAAAAAGAAAGCATATAACATGGCCAGATTATAAATGTATACATTAATTATATCAAGCCTAAAGTATCTATTTGTCCTGCTTCTAAACCCCACAGATCTCATGGGTAAACTTTGAGAACATACTGGTTTTGTAGTAAAGACATGTATTCATCAAATGGAAAAGCTCAGATTTTTATATGTAGCTACATGT